GATTCCTAGGTGTTTGCTGAGGCTGTCCTCAGAAATTTCACAGCTGGTGGCATTTCCACATACCATCTGGCATAAATGTTCCTCAACTGGAATGAACTCATGTAATTACTTGAATTTGGTACAACCAACTATACTGCCCCAACCAGAAAAGAAACACCAGAAGACAACTTCCTGTTTGACTAGAAGGAAGCATCCATCCTTTGGAAAATATATTTTTGGGAGAGAGGGAAGTGACATTTTTGTATCAGGTTCTGAGGCCCTTTGTCCTGTTTGCATTTTTTTTTAAAAAAATACTAAACTTATGAGCAGTTTTATAGTTATTTTATCTCCTTAAGCCTTTACCATGATAGAAATGGGAAGGAACTGGAATTAGATGAAGTAAAAACATGTCTTCTATTCTGGAAAACACAAAAGACTAATCCACTGTGTAGATGTCTCCTTCACACCCAGAGGAAATATCCACTGAGGCAAATATTCAACATCCCTCCTCAGGTTCAGCATAAATGTAAAAATAATTTAATAACTATCTGTTGTGCTCTTGGTCTATTCTATCAGTTTCTCTTTTGAAATTATGACTCACAACATATAATTAAGATTATAAAAAATTAAAAGGTTGAGTAATCATTTTGTTGTAAATAAAGTAGTTAACATACACAGCAGAACACCCAAATACAGATGCCTAAAACACAATTAGAGCTTAAAAATAATTTGCAACCCCAAAAATGTTACTCGATTCCATTCCATTCCCTTATTCTATTTCTTTCCTATCCATCCCATCCCATGCCAATCTTCCTTAAACTATCCTTTCCTGCCATATCCTTCTCTTCCCTACACTACCATATTCTTTTTTACATAAATCTTTATTGGATTATAAAAAATGTGCATCAACTGACAAACCAGGGCTGGGGAATTTCCTTTCTACATGTAGAAATGTACATCATCCTGCTGCAATCAATCTGCAAGGATAAATATTTTGCCAGCACAATTTCAAGCCTCTTCCTTGAAGCTGCTGGGAAATTTTAAAGATGGAGCTGAGCATTCTTAGCCAATCAAAAAATCCACAAATACCCCAGGCATAGGATGAAAAACGTAGCCATCCCTCTCTTGATGCTTCAGAACATGACCAAGTAGGCTTCAGTGTTTCTCCGCAAAGTTGAGGGATCAAGTTGAAACCTCAGAATTTCAAAGAATCTCTATTCATCTCAGATTAAATGGTTGAACTCCTGAACTGGTCAGTTCATTAATTTCCCAATCAGCTACTCTGCCAGCATCTTATAATTCCATGAGGGAAGGTCCAATATATTTATATTTGTCCCGTGAGGGAGCATATGTTGAGCCCTAGGCTATCCCAAGGCCAGTATTCCAGGTGCCAGTATTCCAGGTGTGGCCAAACCACTGAGCAGCACAACAGCATCATAGTGTTGAACATTTTATTTTTTTTAAGTTCCAGCTTTTAGATTAAAAATGTTTTCATGTCAGGGTCAATATAGTCCTGCAAATAAGGTATTTTTCATATTTTAGCGTATTATCCATTTAAAAAATCAATACAAATGCAACTTAAATAAACTGAAATAAAACAATGGACCCATACAGAATTCACTGAGTTCAATGATAATCCATCACGTGTCAAAAGATTTGTAACAACTATTATTAGTCAAGCACAACACTTCACATCTGTTAACACAAAGTTTGTGTAAGCACTCCCACATGATCAGTGTGTGGGCGGAACTAATAAAACATTCAATTGTTGTCAGCTATTTTTGCTGTTTGTGTTAACCACAAAAAATGGCCCTAGCCCTGCCTTGCTTGCTGCCATTTTTCTGTGTCTGCTCCCTTAACCACCAAAGGAAGAGACTGACTCCCTCAACAAAAGGGGCTGATTAGACCAGGTTTTTAAAGAAAAGATACTGTTGGCATGGCATACTCTGCTGTGGAAAGGTTTAGCAAAGCTATTTTCTCCCTACCAAGGGGTCTTTATTTATCTGAGTTGGAGGCCTGAGATGCACTATAACTATACTTCCTGATTGGCAGAAGCTGGAATCGAAAGTTTGTCAGACTTTCAAATCCACTTTCCTAAAAATCAGAGTATTGCAAGTCCAGGTTTCAACTTTGCTAAATCTCAGGTGAACTTTTGCTTTTAGCTAATGAGCCATGGCCTCATTAAGTTTTTTATGTAACTTACTAGATTGTGCAAATAATAATATTATTGAAAGATTCCTGCGTCACCATGGACTATTCAGCTTCATGGGCAACGCCTTTAACCCTGGTTAATCTGGTTGCACGGTCCCACTGACTTTCTCCTCAAGTACTCTGTGGAATACACCCCTCATGTTTTGCCTCTCACTGTTCTGTTGAGTTGGCTTACTTGGAAGTTCCCTCTCTCCTGTCTCTCTTTGGCCTGCATGTTATTTTACAGATTTTGCTCAATCTGTTAATCCTTCCTCAGAAACTACCATTTTTACTCTCAGTCACATCACTATTTGTAGTCTTCAAAAGATCTCAGGAGCACCAATTTCACCTGCTGTCAATCTATGTTTATTTCAGCCTGTCTTCAACTGCCCAAGAATTTGAAGTTTCCCTACGGTGGTCATCAGCATCATCCCTAAAAACAGGTTATCTCCTGTTTTTATCTGAAGATAAATACCCTGTGAGGGCCTGTCACTCCTCTAGTTCTGTGATCACATTTTTTATATTTAATCCACCGAGATTGAATTCATCCGCTCTTTGTCCACCAGTAATTCCTTCTACTTCTCCCCATTCTATTATTTCTTTCTCCTGCCTTATAACCACATTGGTTCAACTCCTGCAATTCTCCTTCAATCCTCTCTCTCTACCTGTGCCCTCCGTCACCTGCAGGACTTCAGTAGGGCTGAAGGGAGTTGGGGAAAAATCAGCCAGGCTCCTAACTCCAAGTGAGGGAAAAGCCCGCCAGGCTCCAAAGGAAACTCCAACTGAGAAAGATACCAGTACATGGCTGGTATCCGGACAAACACCTTGGGGTGCTGCCCCATTTTCAATGGGGAGAAGACATGCTGAGTACAGGTTGAGAAGCACCCTCCTTCTCTCAGGGACTCCCATTCAGTAGGAACTATTTATTGCCTCCAGTGAGCAAACTCCCCTTTCCCCTCTGCTGACGTTTTCTCCCTTCTGCTGTTGGAACTCAGCGGACACTGATTTCCGCAAATCAACCCAGATTTTGATTGAACTGGATTTGGAAGATGTATTGTTCAATTCAGTGGCAAGGCAATTCAACCAGGGCAACGCTGAGATTCAGAGAAGAAAACAATTCATCCACAGAGCATGGTGAACAAGAGCTGGAAGGGACCTTGGAGGCCTTCTAGTCCAACCCCCTGCTTAGGCAGGAAGCCCTACACTACTTCAGACAAATGGTTATCTAACCTCTTCTTTAAAACTTCCAGTGTTGGAGCATTCACAACTTCTGGAGGCAAATTGTTTCACTGGTTAATTGTTCTGTCAGGAAATTTCTCCTCAGTTCTAGGTTGCTTCTCTCCTTGGTTAGTTTCCATCCATTGTTTCTTGT